TTGATATGACAAATGATCTAGATCAGAAGATTTCGTAACCTATCAAGCCATCGCAGAAGTACCTTGAAGGAAACACAAACTGCTTTCGAAGTGTGCATTCCTTCGGGCTCCAGCTTTTGCTCGATGCACATTGGTAGAGTCTTCCTGTCCCATGCGGTTCATTTGCGCAGGATTCACTGGTCCAGCCCGAAACACCTCCCTGTGGAGTGTTGTCATAGTTGGTTGCCCACGGCGGATCACTGTCAGGATAGTAATTCTGCATTGGTCCAATTCAGTTGGCAAGCTGGTCCAGCGGCTTTCTCCTCAATTGACTTTGCCGGTGCTGCCAGATAATGAGGCAGAATATGTTATACATCTCCGGTTGATGAAGTAGAGATGTTGGACATACCAACAAACCAATGGAAAACGTGTCTCAGACTATGTACTCGGGCCTCATCAGTTTCAGACTGGTTCGTGCGTTTCAAGAACATGTATATACGGTACCTTCACCTTCATCATATTGAATATCTTCCACCTGACACTGCTTGTGGCTTCCTCCGCGCATCAGAAGATGTTTTTGGAATCTGGGCCCCAGACTGAAGAGTCAGGTGTACCGTCTGGCGCAAAGAAGTGCAAGCTAGCCCGGATTGAAAAAGCAAAGGAAATGCTGTCGACTGAAAAACTCATGGGCGCAGCACCAAGGAAGTAATGAGTTTTTGCTTCATCTGCTCCACATCACCACCTTCCCACACTATGAAGGAATGCATACCATACAGAGAGTTCAAAACCGTCATTCTCAGGCTCGGGCTGACTCCATTCACTGACAAAATAAAATCACCACAAAGAACCTTCCAGAAAAGGAAAACAACAGAACGGGAAATAAGAATGACAACTGCAAAATGCATAAAGCATACACGTCAAATGCAAAGCCCCCAAGCTCATTTTCCGGAGAGTGCAACCAGAGCTGCCAAAACGGAAGGGAAACTAATATGCCAAGTGGGACTCTTTCTGAAAGAAAGAGCACGTGAAGATTCTATTCCAAAGGGCTGTAACTCTTCGTTGAGTCCTCCTTGGAAATTGCAAGAGAAGTGCACTGGGTGTCCGAAGCAGCATGCTTCCACATTGATTTGCTCATTTCTGTACAGTGCTGGAGTGCACATTGATTCAACCCTCTCTCGCTCAACCCCCCTCCCTCTCTCCCTCTCTCCCTCTCTCGCTCTTTCGCTCTCTCGCCCTCTCGCCCTCTCGCCCTCTTGCACTCTCGCCTCTCTCTCTCTCTCTTTCTCTCTCCCTCTCTCTCTCTCTCTGTCTCTCTCTCTCTGTCTATCTATCTCTTTCTCTTCTCCGTCTCTCTTTCTCTTGCTCTCTCTCTATCTATCTATCTATCTATCTATCTGTCTATCTATCTATCTATCTATCTATCTATCTCTTTCTCTTCTCCCTCTCTCTTTCTCTTGCTCTCTCTCTCTCTCTCTCT